GGCGTTGGTCAGTACACCTACACCTATCTATGCTGATTTCGGTGCAGTTACTAGGAATGTTCGATATCGTATCGATTTTTCTGAATATCGATATTTCATTGCACGATAATCGATTTTTTGAATCGATATTCCAAGGTCGATATATCGAAGACATCGATACTTTACCCGCAATATCGATATTTAAGTTGAAATTTATTTTTCATCTACAAAGAAGTGTATGGAAAAATACTAAAGTAGGTTTAATCAACAGCTTGTGTGATTTATTTAGCTCTTAAGTTTGACAAACCGCTTGAGTCGACCAGCATGCCGTTTTAATACTCAGTAAATATGCAAGATGGAAATAACACAATTAGTTGAGTCTGCTTATTGTGTTGATAAGCAGACTCAACTAATTGTGTTATTGCCATCTTGTATATGCCTAATATTCTATTCAATTGGGAGTAGGATTTTCAACATCGATTTTTCCGATATCGATATTGTTCAGCCCGATATATCGCCATATTAATTTTACATGCAATGAATTAAATCGATTCATGACATCGATACTTTCTTAAATATCGAACATTCCTAGCAGCTACCGTTAACCAGTGTTGCCTCTATAACTTAAGCACGTTCTGAACATTGGTTACTAGCACCATGGGTTACTAGTAGGTTTGCGTGTGGAGAAAGAGGAAAGTACATAGAATTTGAGTTTTCGAGCACCCTTAAATTTAAAAAAACAAAAAACTGTTTTCTTTACCAATATTGATTTATTAATTTTGAATTTACTGGTGATTTTTATTGTGCTGTTAGAGCAGTTTCAACAAAATTTCATTGCTTAATCTACGTTTATCTCTTGAATGTATGCATGTATAAGTTTTTCGCTTAAAATAAGTAATTTGTAATACATATTTTCAAATTTTATTTGAATTGCAATTAATTACTGGTATATATTTATAATAATTTCAAAGTATAAATGCTTTTAACTGGCTTCAAAACATATCTTTTTGCTTACAAATCGTTTACATGATGCACCCATTCCAGTTGCATGATTTATGTATATTCAAACCATCAACTAATCAAAAAAGTGCAGTTTAAAATTGTTTTCTTCTCTTGTAAATACACATTTAACCACACATGCCTTGCTCCTTGTTGTGCTGATTGTTTTCGAATTGGAGTTTAATGTTTCACAGTTGCTACATGTTTCATATACGCATGTCTGTATGTATGTATATGAATCTCTCTTTAATACTTAGCTAATTCAGATTTATTTCCTTTAGGATTTTGTATATTTTTATGGGTGCATGCTCTCAAAGTGCATTTATATGTTTTGTTTAACTTTTTTTTACTAGTTTTTTTCCAATCATTTCAATTAGTTCCATTTCTGTGCATTTTAAGTGAGGTTATGCATAGTTTATCGCTTTTTAGTGCCTTACATTTTGTGCTTCATTTATTACGTATTTCATTTGCAAACTATTTGTTCTTATATAGAAATAAATAATTAATACTTTTTAAAACTTTTATAATATGTACTATGTATGTGCGCACTCGTACGACTATCATCCAAAATAGAAAAAATGTAATTTATTTCAATTAGGAAATAAAATTAATAACATGGAGATGAATTAAAACCTATGTATATCTATTTAAATAAAACTAGTATTAAAAAATAAATTAATCTGGACGTGTGTTTAAGAAACGAAATGCTTCACCAATTCTCGAAAGATTTTATTGATTTCATCCCTTGCTAGTAAGGGCCAAAAGAATATTGAAAGTTTACAATTAACTAAGTAAGCAGCAATTTAACGTTCAAAACTATAAGTTGTGTTACTTTACTGAAATTTTAAATTCCTTTTGTAAGATTATGTATATATGCATGTATGTATTCTACTGATCATGATTTAACAATGCGTGGCTCACTTATTGAATACAATTTTGCAATCCTCACGCGAACTTTGTAGTAAACCACCTGCCAAGTGTGAAATGAAATTGTATTGCTGATTTATTGAGGTCTGGAATTGTGTGATACCTTTTTTGCTATAATATATTTTATCATAATTTTTTTTTTATATTTCATATACATATATTGTAAATACTTTACATACTAAAAACTACAAGTCTGACTGAAAATCGTTGTTCTAGTGCATGTGCAACTTCACTACGATTTCTCGAAATTATTATATACTTTTCACTTAAAAACTAATGTGCGATATTAAATTTATAAAATACTTATGCATGCTTGTATATTAAATAAAACTCGCAATATTCTAAATACTGGTTATTGTTTAAACTTTACTAAAGTAATTTGCGGTGGTGCAGATGACGTAGTGTTATTTTTCAAATTTCAGTGTCACCTGAGTGTAGACGTATTTACGTATGAATGTATGTGTACAGACATACTTAAGTACATGCATATGTACGAGTGGAAGCCTTAACTTTAATGCATGTGCGGAAAAAGAGTTACAGCACGAATAAAGATTAGGCCCTCTCCGACAAGAAAAAAGCTAGGCGTTTGCCTAAAATAGCTAAGCATAGCTACAGAATTGGAGGAAAACCTGGCGTATTGTGAACTCCAAGCTCCAACCCAGCAAACTCAAACCCCGAAGGCCGAGGAGGCTTAGGGGAGAGGATTTCTCTACAAAATCTATCACATGTCCATATATAATGCAAATTTTTTGACAAACCCAGAGAGTCCACTCTAGACATCTCCTAACCTCTGAGTTGCCAGATTCTACGCTTGGACTCAGTTCAACAAGTCTTGCAGCAGATCCTTTTCTCGCACAATCGGCTTCGTCTCTTCATTTTCTGAAACTTCACCATGCTCTGGTCTTCTTCTTTATTGGCGCTGTGACCGCCTAAGCGATTTTGGCCGACTCCAAAACAGCACGCCAGTCATTTCTCTTCTGTGCTAACTGACGCCACTTGGAAATGCCAAGTGAAGCCAAATCTTTCTCCACCTGGTCTTTCCAACGCAGAGGAGGCTTCCTCCTCCTCTTTTCAGAACAGGAGCGTATTGTATTCGAACGACATGGCCAAGCCAGCGGACCCGCTGAATTATTATTCGCAGCACTATGTCTATATCGTCGTAAAGCTCATACAGCTCATCGTTAAATCGTCTGCGATATTCGCCATCACCAATGCGTAAAGGTCCTTAAATCTTTTGCAGAATCTTTCTCTCGAAAGCTCTAAGAACCACCTCATCAGATGCTTTCATTGTCCATAACTCCGCGCCATACACCAGCACAGGCATGATGACTTATAGAGTGTGATCTTTGTACCATAAACTCATATCGAGATAATCATTGCCGAACTGAGGACGTTGATCGCATATGGGTATAACATAAAAATAAGCACGGTTTACAAACTTTGTATAGATATCAGCCTGAAAAACATTGTAGCTCCCATAAAAATGTCCACTAGACCCTGTATTTAAAGCATTTTTGGCAAGACATATCTTCGCCTGGGTAAAAGATTGTTGTTAGCGCAATCTTGACGATTTTTAGTTCTAGATGCAGTTATATACTTTGGAATAAGGTCTTTCGATTGATGTTGTCAGTTTTTAGATAATTCAGTAAAAATTTAGTTAGTGACGCAGTGATATCATACTAACTAACTAATCAATATCTTAAAAAGCGCGTTCTCCATTTTTGGATATCTCCCTTAGTTTCCGAGATATTGAGTAAAAAGTGTCGTTGAATATAGTAGAAAGTGGCTGCCAAATTGTGGACAAATGACACTTACGACAAAATTTTGCCAAAAAAAAAACCCTTCATAAACTCAAAACTAATTAAAAATAAACATTAAAATTAAATAATTTAAGCATTTTGTGAACTAGTAACATTTTCAGAGACTTTGGAGAAAATCTATTTTCGCGTTTTTGGGAAATTGTATTCCAAACTTCAATCGCGATTTCCCACAATCTGCCGAAATTAACATACGACAATCTTTTACCCATGTGACGGTATGTACATACATAGTATGAACGAAAAAACTTCCCTTTAATGATTTATGGTGAGCTTTAACTTGGATTCGTCTGTTAGATTGGATCTCGTCTTTGCTCAATACGTTGTCAGATGCCCACACGGAAACTTCGAAACAATGACCAAAGTCAGTCGCCATGATCTCATAGTCAAAGAATCTCTGTTTAACCCAAACTCACGCCGCGGCCGCCGCCTGGAGTATCGAGATATGCCCAAGGAATCGTATCTCATATATTTTCCTATACTGCTTCTTGTATCTTAACTTCGAGGTAATGACGTTTGTTTAGTGATTCACTGTTTTAGGACGAGCTTCTTCTGAGTCGTAGGAAATATCTAAATTTTATTCATCGACGAAGGTCCTCCGCAGTTTTATACAATCTTTGAAAGCCAGTTAATTTTTGAAGTGGAGCCTTTGTTTACTAAATTACCCATATCTTTTCTTGGTATTTCATAAACATACACAGATGTGTACGAACAAGTAAACTACTTCATGAGCATTAGCCTAATTCTTAATATTTGTAGATGTCGAAGAGGATTTAATCATTCATTCATGCTCCCACACTTTTATTTAGGTTTTTGTTATATGTTTAATGTGTGTATGATGTATCTAAAATCTATTACCAAATTGAGCTAATTAAAAAAGTTAATTTCAACTACAGTATCTATTTTACTTGCATTGCTTGCGTACGTCTTTTCACCAACCACACCATGAATTTAAATATTTATGAGAGTATATTCATATGTACCTACATATATAAGTAAATGGTCACAACACTAAAAAAATATGCGCAAAATGTTTAAACGCGTAATCGATCGCTGTAAAGTCCTCTTCGACTTTTGCACACTTACAACACTTTTTACTTGGTTACTGCTCGATGCCGAAATATATTGCATTTTAACTTTAGTATGTATGTATGTACTACTATGTTTATTTATGCACGCATGCACATTTACATAGTACGTACTCGGATATCAGCGGATTTCAAAGTTGATAAAAATTAAAATAAAATATTTTATATATTCATTTCGTCATTTTTTTTCTTTCAACAATTTCAACAATTTGCATTTGCCCAACACTTTTCCCTAAGTAAAATTTCGTCTCGCCCTCGATACACGTTACAAGCCTTCTATTAAAATATCTCTCACCAGTTCCCTAACTAGTAAGCTCCCTACCCCGAGCGGTATACGCATTTAGTAGTGCATCTTTTTAGAGCGTACAATACTCCGTCAGTATCGGTATTGACTTCAGCAGCTCATTGATATTGTTTTCCTCTAAATGCGTCACTAAATTGCCAGAGATGCGCAGGAGATTACTGAAATTTTGCAAATTTTCCACAATTTCCTTGGTCATTGTATCAGATGATTTACGTATTAGCTCGGCTAATTTTTTGCCAACTTCATGTTTTATGAATATCTCTTCCAGATTAACATCGTCTTCTTTAGCAGCACTACTATTCGTTAAGTAGACCACAGATAAAATACATAAGGCAATTAGCGCTTCATTCTGCATGACTAAATGTTGTGATGTCAACATATTGATCATAGCCTCAACAGTGCCCTCATTGGCAATGAACGCCTTTAAGCTGCTACGATCGTAGTCTTCTGGTGGCAGTTTGTCGGCGAAATGTTCAACAGGCGCATCACCTTTACGTGGCAGCGCATAGGCAATTCTACCCAAGTAGGCGTGTTTGATGAGCCATGCCATGAGCCGCAACGATTCGCCAGTAACGCCAGCATAATCCGAAGATTTGCTCCAATGGACAAGTTGCTCGATTAGCGTTTTATTGCGCAGCAGTTCCAAGGCAAGTTTTTCTGCAAGTGGAACACGAACAAAGAGTACGACATAAATAACTAATTGTCTAGAAAAATGTATGTAATGTGTATTTATATAATATCGGCATAGTACCTTGACCATCCACTGTCATGCGCAAAGTACCAAGCAGCTTAAAAACTACCGGTGGTTGATGTATCTCCAACATCGGCAGTATAGTTTCAACAAGTCCCGCTTGTATGACAGCGTTTTTGTTTGGTTTGGGTATGACGAGGTTTCGCAGCGCACTCAGTAAGGCATGCTGGAGACGCACATCATCTTTGACGCCATTGTTTTTGGCCAACACATCGAGCAATTTATTCATAATCTTATTTTCTACCATATAAATGCAGTGGCTGTCGGTGCGTGCGAAATTACCCAATGCAAGCACTCCGGTGGTGAGTAGATCGATATCCTGTGAATCAAGCCAATCCTCCATACTCTTCAGAAGCGGCGTAGAATAAAGATAATGCATCGATTCGTCTATGTGAATAGGTAGAAAAGTAAAAGTTATATCAATGATTTTCAATGAAATATTTTTTGGTATGTGCGCTAGGGTGCCTCACCAAAAAGAAGTCGCGTTTTTTTTTACCGAAATTATAAATTTAATTATATTTAAAAACTGGACAATATTAAGATTTACGATTTGAGCGATTTGCATGGAGAGTTCTGAATCGGTACCATCATTTTTTTACTGACAAATTTAAACTTTTTCATATTTGTTTCCGTAAAAAAACAATGACAAGAATTTCTCACTGATACATAATAGAGCCGTTAGACGTGTTTTATGATGTATGGAAATTTTTCAAAATATGTTCTAGATGGTTGGATTGGACAATTTTTTTTTCCTTTCCATCTATTGCTGGGATGAAATTTGGTGTAAATTGGATGGCGAAAAGTCGGAAATCAAGTAAGGGTTGAAAATATACTTACCAAGGAAGAAAAATCGCTTTCCTTAGACTTTCGTTAAAATTTATTGTAAATATTAGATATGTGATACATTAATAAAATGGTTTTATTAAGTAATTTATCTGTACAAAGATTCATATATCGCACACCATCTTCAAAAGAGACACAACTCGAAATTTTTAATTTTTTTAATTATGCGCTAAAAATGTACACAGAGCTTTTATTTACCTTTCTGCAAAAGTTGGAGCAAATGTTTGTTATAATTTGTTAAAAAAAACAACCTTAGTAAAGTCTCCCTTGCCCATATGATTAGCATGTGTTACGAAATAGTTTTTCGCATTCTCTGACAAACGTGTTATTTTGAGTTGTGCCTCTTCTGAAGACGGTGTGAGATATGATAAATTCGGTTACAAAACAACTAAGTTGCCGGGCTTTCGACTTAAAGTAAGTTTGTTATTTTATAAGCAGGATACTTTTTCCTATAGGATTCTACAATTTGGAGCAAAAAGTCTGTCTCTTCTTCATTTTTCGTAAGGACTTTGATGAAATCCTTCATGAATTAACTCCTCTTTCCGCAGTGCCATTAGTAACAAAAAATCGCGGGAGAATTGGTAGCCATTTTGGAAATGTTCGTTCGATTCCCATGTTAAAGGATGAAATTTCAAAATACCTGAAGATATCTTGAAGATTTTAAAGAAATTGTGAAAATCATTCGATACAAAATCGCTCAACTCGTAGTCTACCAACGCTTCCAGTTTAACAAATTTGCGGCCATCGCGCAGTTTTATAATTGGTTTTGTTGATTTCAGCCGTTCAATCATTTTTTGCTTAACATCCACTGAAACATTTGAATCGAAAAATGCTGATGCGATTATTTCTTCTGCCAAATGCCAAAGGTGCTGGTGAATTTCCCTCAATAATTCACCGGATACTATCGGAGTAACCTCTGCATATGCAACTGTTGCTTTTATAAAAGTGATTTGATTTGGAGCTTCCATTGCACTGGAGCATGCAAACCAAGCTTTTATGTACAGTTGTACAAGCAAAATACATATTTTTGATAATCCCTCCAATTCTGTTTTCGTAAAACTATATTTTTCTCGAAATAAGAACATTTTCAATGAATAAATGCCTTTAAACATCCAACGGGCATGGCCGGTTGGACCAGGCGTTCGAAATTTACCGCCATCACCACCAAGAATATGTATAACTAATTTTAAAAGCTCTTCATAACCCGCACGGCTATGATTCTTTTCCAGTTGTGAATAGCAAAATTGTTTCACGTCTTCACAGTGTTGATCGCTTAATTAAGATCCAATGAACTTATCGACGACGCCACTTTTGATGGAAGTAGGATCGAGATTTTTCCATGTTTTAGCAAATCTCTCGAATATATGAACTTCGGGGGCCTGGGTTGCTTTGAAATGTAAATCAAACACACTATGCAAGTAGTTCTCGTATATGGAAGACGACATGGTAAGTTAATTAATTTTTTATTGATAATTCATTGTAAGTGAGCGCACGCACCATTATAAGGTCCCGTATTGCTTGATGTTGTGTCAAAACTCATGGCCCGAATTCGATCACAAATATTCAACTTGACCAATAAATAGTAAACGGATTCAGCCACTTTAAATAAGTTTGGGGAACCAAGAAATTTCGAAATTCCATTATGGCTGACCAGAACAGCAATTCTCTCAACTTTGCTATCGCCAGCAAGGTCTTGCGCCAATTTGCCATCCCAGTGAACCACTATTAGACCGGTTCACAACTAATTCGTCAACACGATGCCCTAGTGCTTCGGTAGCTGCTATTAAAATATGGATTGTTCAATAAATGACAAAATTATTGCTTTTCCATAGGAAACTGTAGCATTATCGAGTGCAGAAAGTAAAAGCGGTGTAATAAAGTATTTATTTCCTCTTTTATCGGAAGCTGTTGCGGGTTTCTTCCATATAAAAATAAATTTTGTTTATTCGTTATATGGAAGCAAATGCGACAAAAAAAAACAAAATTAAAAAATTAGCCACTTGAAACTTGAGAACTTGAGAAAAAAGTTTAAAATTTGGGTGAAAATTTGTTGCATTATTTTGCAGTCTTTTAAAAAGTTTTAAACTTGGGTTTATATGAGTTTTGTTAGAGAATGAACTGTACTTAAATTGAAAATTCTTAAAAATAAATAATTAAACATAAGTGGCAAACAATATCATTTTGAAAGGGGAGTGCTATAGATATGTCCAATACTGTATATGTATAAAAGTATATACACATGCGATCAACTAATTAGCAACGAAATTCAAAATGATATTGTTTGCATATTATGTTTATTTATTTATTTTTATTAATTTTCTATTTAAAATATAATTCAATCTATAACAGAAACCACAGTAATAAAAGTTTAAAAGCTTGAAAAAATTGCAAAAAAAATAATCAAACTTCAAAAAATTGTAAAAAATTACCGTTGATTTTTTAGAATTTTTTTTTTTTGTGGAGGGCGTTGCTGTTTTTTTTCATATAAAAAAAATTAGATCATGTTTTATATGGAAGAAAATGCGCAACACCCTCCACAAAAAAATTCTAAAAAATCAACGGTAATTTTTGTCAATTTTTTTTAAGTCTGATTTTTTTTTGCAATTTTTAACGACTAGTAACTTGCACTTTCTTATACTACAATTGAATGGGCAACAAAACTGCATACCCGAAAATTTTGTAAACATTCTAATTAAAAATTTTGAGATTTTGATGACCATTTTTTGAAGTTTGATTAATTTGTTTGCAATTTGTGCAAGCTTTTAAACTTTTATTATTGTGGTTTCTGTTATAGATTGAATTATATTTTAAATGAAAATTATTAAAAATAAATAAATAAACATAATTTGCAAACAATATCTTTTTGAATTTCGTTGCTAATTAGTTGATCGCATCTGTATGTATATTACAGGCAGTTTTACAATTCGTCACACATTGGGCCGTATGCGTAAAAACTAAGCAATTGCTTTATCTTAAAGTTTCATACCTTTTACTTAAATTTATTTGAACAAATTGAGTAAAAGGTCTGAAATTTTAAGAAAAAACATTTGCTTAAGTTTTAAGCATACGGCCCACTCTATTTACAATTTAATTGTAAAGCATTGGCACGGAGTGTCAATTCAAAGCAAACTTTCCATAAAAACAAACTTTCCATAAAAAAAATTACAATGTTTTAAAAAAATAAGTTAATTATCAGACGGGGTATAAATTTCTAACCTTTTGTTAGCAAGAATTCTTGCGCACATTGTCTACGCGTTCAACTGTTTCGACATTAAGCCTGTTCCTGTATTTATTTTTATTGAGATTTTTCGGAAGCAGCACTACTGTGCAGTAATATAGCTAACGTCAGCTTATACTCTGCCAAATTGATAAACATACACCTATCCAAAACATTTTTGTGGTCGCTGCTTTAGGAAATAAAAATTAATTCCACAAGGAATGTTGAAGAGTAAAATAGACAACTTTGTTACGCCTTGCTATACAAAACCTTGGTGGTTGCCACAGAAGTTATTGAGCAAAAATTTAAGAAGCTACCATATTATTTTGTAATATATTCTTAAAGTGAATGGAAAAAAGTAAACAAATCGGAGCATATTTTAAGTCAAGCGGAGTAGGGAGTAGATTTTAAATTTAAAAAAGAAATCGGAGTAAATCTAATCCGATCGGAGCAAAGTCTGGACGCTGTCGACGAGTATCAAGCGTTGGAATACGGGAATACGTAATTGTCGATAAACGAAACGCATGTTGTAAAATAGAACCTGTGGTATTTGCCTATTCGATGGTAACTTTGCGCCGACGATCAGATGCGAAATTTGGTCAATTACTACATTTTCGACGCGTTGACGGGTTTGAATCGATGGCGCGATCGATGTTGACGGTGGTTCGGACATTATGATTTCAAATACTTAAATATTTCACGGTTTGAATCGCGGATTGAATTCACAATGTTATATTTCCTACTAGTTTAAAAAACATTTTGGTTAAGTTATAAAACGCCTAAAAAGGTATTAGCCGGTATTTTACAATAAAAAAAAAACTCAAGATTTTAACACATTACGACGCTTAACGCGTCTTGTGAATCCCCCATATGTCTTTGACTATTTAACTACATCGTTGTTTATTTGGATAAAATTAAAATATATTTTACTCAATATGAGAGTTGGTGTGAAACAAAATTTATGATTTATTGTTAGTATGCGAATGAGAACTACAATTATCAACTTATTGAGCATTACCCTCATCTCTTTCAAAACCAAGACATTTTGCTTGTTCAAATTTCGATTCTAAGGGCGTGTGTGAATCGGTAACAAAGTTTTATGGGGAAAACTGTTGAATAATATTTTTACCATGGTGAGACAGTTTTGCCAATCTGCTGTGTGAAATGAAATATTTTTTTACAGCAGTAAATTTTTGATAGCCGCAGATTTATGCGGAATAAAACATTACATATTGAAGTGAAGTTAATATTTTAAGAGAACCTCTACCATCGTAGATTACAATTCATCAATTTAAGCTTTTATTTAAAGAAAAATTACACACATCAACAATCTTTGCGATTGTCAAAATTTTGTATTCCTTTGTCCAAAATGCTACTGAAATTTTATTTACCTCATAGTTGTCAAAAATTTACTCTCCGCGAACTTTGTTACCGATTCACACACGCTCTAAGAAAATGTTTTTAAACGAACAAAAAATTAATAATAATAAAAATTTGAAGGATTTCAAATATTGTGCATGGGCTTTTTTAGGTGGAAAGGAAAAAAATAGCCCAATCCCGCCATCTAGAGCATGTTTTTATTTTTTAAGAACACCCCTAATGTACATATTTACATACATAGGTATATATGTATGTCTGTCTGTTTCTTACCTCCCGTGAGTATCAACACAATCAATTCGCACGCCAATTTCATTAGGGCACGCGCCTCACTGGTACTCGCCAAAGTCTTATATTTCTCAAGCAGATTGTAGATCGTTTCGCAGAGTCCATCCTTTGCCAATAGCAATTTGACATCATCATTCTCCGCCTGATAATGCAGCAGTTCAAGGCACATTTCCGCTAAATCGGGATTTGTGGAGGCTGCCAAAATATGCGACAGCTGAATATTGAGATTCGCATCGAAATTCAAATCGGCCACATTTTCAGTGAGTATGCTGAGCAATGGCAAAGTATTCAATAGCAAATCCTCATGTTCCTCAACATTAGCCACTCCAATTGTGATGATCTGTTGTAGTTTTTGCATAATTTGCAACTCCATAGCACGTTTGGCCAAACCCTCGCCACCGAGTAGATAATTCGAAAGTAGCCCGCCACGCACTTTAATGAACTGCAACGCATTCTCAGTGTCCCCAATGTGTGTTATATCGAGCAATCGAATTAGTACCTCGTCACCTTGCAGCTCTAGGATTAGATCGCGCGCCTCATCGTTCAAGTAGCAAATATTACCGAGCGCCCGACAAATTTGTATGGGCAACTCCAGATTCTTATCGGCCGACAACTCACGTAGACAATTCAAAAATACTTCGATTATTTCACGTTTGGTGAACTTTTTACGTTGCACTTCGGATTTTGTGATTTCGGCAATGCATTTGGCAGCTTCCTTGCATATGTTCGATTCCTCTGATTGTGCAAGAGCCATGAATAGATCAGCTAACTCATGCTTGTCGAATAGTTTCGGATCTTTTGTAGCGGATATTTTTGTGAGAATGTTGTTGGTGGTGTTGCTATTGCTATCGCCGCTGGTGTTGGCCGAACTCACTGAAGTTGACTTCAGTTTTTCTATTAGTTCATCGATTTCACCTGGCATTGAGAAATGAAAAAATTAAGGAAAAAGTTGTGAATAATAATAAATCCGTAGTTAGGGAAATGCAATTGCAAATGTATTTGGTAGTATTCACGGAAATTTATAAAGGGTATTTATCTTCGTTAATGTGTTAATTCGTTATCTGGTAACTCGGTAACACTTTCAACTTCCCTCAGGGTACATATACATATGCACATACATTCATACATGTACATTGTACACATGTGAATTCCTTGACTGCTTACTTATAACAATTTGTTTACATTACTTCACCTCGTCAACATGGACTGCGGGTTGCTGCTGCGAGTATTTACGAAAAGTTTATGGAAACAAGCAAAGAAAAAACAATACCTACTCGTATAGATTCATGTATGTACATGTGTTTGCCACTTCACCATCGGCCAGCTCCACTAAGCTTAGATGTCTAACCAAATCTGCCGCCAACACCACCAGCTGGAGCAGGAGCAGCAACCTCATTCGCGTTTCATTTATGCGTTTTGATGCCCCCATCGCTATGTACATACATAAACGTGTATGTACGTAGTCCCTTTGCCTGCTGGTGGTTTACATTTGTTCGCCTGTCCAGTATAAACTGCTTGTTTGTGTGTGTATGGTGGTGGATAGACGATTGCTTGATTTCTGGATCGTCCTCATTCATCTGGCTGCATACGAATTTGTTGCCCAAGTCTGGCTAAACGACTTCAGTGTCCTGCTGCTGCTGCGCGGAGGCAAACGGTAGGACGAGTGAGTCAAATTTACTAAACTAACGGTAAGTGTGTGTGTGGTGTGAATATGCTGGTGGTTGTGTGTTTAGGTAAGTGTGTCCAACCAAACAAATTTATTTATTTTTGTTGATTAGTAATCAGTTAGAAAGTGACTAGGTTTACACCAGTCTATAGGTCTCCTTAACAAATTTGAAAATGAGATTCCTCAAAGAAAAATTCATTTAATCACCTTTAATCATGACAACATTAACAACAATGAAAGGCCTAATATCTAGGGTTCGAACGATACTATCGATATTGAGTAAGTATCGATACTGAGGGTATAAAAATGAGTACTTTAATACTCGATACCTTATTTGGTGATTTTACTCGATACTTTGCAAAGTACTCGTAGTATCGAAAACTTATTAAAAAACACACTTTTTAAAATTTTTCTTCCATTAGCAACCCAATTTTCTTTGCTTAAATGGATTCTAGCATTCAATTTGGTCCATCACTTAAAATAAACTGAAATTGCGTGTAGTCGGTTGCATAACATAAACCAAATAAGTAAAAGTTTAATGGCCTTATTCATAAAAAATAAAGTAGGTTTAAAGAGCTTAATAAAATGACATTTTCATAAAGTTTTCAGTTTATATACCTTTTTTATTTCTATGAATAAGGCCATAAAACTTTACGCAAAGTTCACGAAAATGCAGAATTTTTAGAAACTTTTTGGGTATGCGGTTTTGTAACCAATTCAAGTTTACGTGTAGCCTTCTACCGTTGACTTTTAATTCGAACTTCCACATTATTATACTAAAATTGAATAGGATACAAAAATGCATACCCAAAAAGTTTACAAAAATTTCTTAATAAAATTTGAAATTCGTGAAATTATATATATATATATATATGTGTATGTATGTATGTACATTAAACGTTAAAATTAGTTCTAACGTGAAAGTAAGTTTTGCAATGAAATAAAAATCAAATATTTTAAATTTCTATTGTTTTAATTTCAGGAAATAACTAGATATAAGATTGAAGAATAAAATAATTTTAGTATCCCAAAAAAACGTATTTTAATGAGTCCGATACTGAGTAGTATCGATACTTTTTCCCTGATACTTTTAGAGTATCGATACCATGAGCTCGATGCCAGAATGAGTACTCAGTATCGATACCAAAGTCTGAAATTTCGAACCCTACTAATATCATCCGACTGCTACTAAATTAGATTTAGAATTGATTAAGGGAATCCGGTGAATAATCCAGAAGGTTAATCGAATCATTATCTGTTGACATAGCAGTATTCGAGAAATCACTTTTTTGGAAAAAACGCTCTGGTAATAAAGCCATATTCGCTCAACACCGTGCTATTGAAACTATATTTAAAAAAAAGTCGGTTATCATACAACTTTCGAAAAAGTAAGGTCCAAGTCCGCTGCTAGACCAAAGCGCGCACCAAGCAGTTAGGTTTTCTGGGTGTAATGGGACCTCTTTTTGATTATGATGATCTTAAGATGAATGAAAGTTGTACCTCCACGCTGAATGAGATTTTGCTGTAAAAATCGTCTTTGAGTAGATGGACTAGTTTTTGGTGGACTTTATACGAATAGACGTGTAAATTCTAATGCAAAATACGTTGTAATGTACCATAGGTTAACACAGACATTTATTGTGTTGATCGTTATGTCGCCACTACTAAAGATTATTCTCGGGACGGTAACTGCAAGGTAATCCGAGTAAAGTTAGGAACAACGCTGGTTGCTCACAAAGTTCAGCAAGGAGCTGATGTCCATTCCAAAGAGTTTATTGAGAGTGTTGATGAAATGCGTGCCAAAGTGTTTAAACGTTAATTTAGCGAAAGCCGGCAGAAGAGAAGGAAATGCGACGATATTTAGTCGCGCCATATGAATTGCTGGGGATAGTTCGCGGTCAGTAAATCTGTCAGAATCGAGGGTCGACACTTTTGCGGCAAAGGTTCCTTTGCCCTGTGGCGGAGTAATGTAAAAAACTCCTAAGCCCTCCCTGTACGGAGAGAGGTCAGCTATTCTCCAACCAATTTCGATAGTACCATGAGCGATGCCAGGTCCCTGATTTCCGCTTGGCTATCATTTAGATATTATTTACCCCTCTAAGCGATAATACAATGTTGTGTAGCCAATCGGCTGTCTCTTTTATAAGGTTACCGATGATGTCGATGTCATCGGCATAAGCCAGCAATTGTACGCTCTTGTAGTAAATTGTTCCTGAGCGGTTCAGTTCTGCAGCTCTTATTATCTTCTCCAACATCAGATTAAAGAAGTCACATGAAAGGGAGTCGCCCTGTCTGAAACCCCGTTTGGTGGCGAACGGCTCGGAGAGGTCTTTCCCAATTCTGACGGAGCTGGCGGTATTGCTCACCGTCAATTTACACAGCCGTAAGAGTTTTGAGGGGTTGCCAAATTCAGACATAGCGGCGTATGGGCAACTCCTTTTATTGCTGTCGAAAGCGACTTTAAAGTCGACAAATAGGTGGTGAGTGTAGATCCTTTTTTCGCGGGTCTTTTCCAAGATTTTGCGTACTGTGAATACCTGGTTAATGGGGGATTTGCCAGAGAGACCAGGGCGTACTCCCGTAAAAACAACAATGGCGACCTTGTAACCAATGTTCAGAGTTTAAGTACGCTTTTTAACAGGATTGCTACCTTTTTAAAAGCAATATATGAATGTCAATCTAAAAAGGTATAAGAAAGCTTTCTTTCTGAAATATGTATTTTTTTAATGGGTTGCCAGCAATTTTTAACTCAAATTACATTTGATCAATAACTTTAAAGAAATATTACAACATGCATGTCAAACGAGAGATGTTTAAGAGAGCTTTCTTCTTAAATTATTTTAATATGGTGGTGTCGATTTAAGTTTAATCCGTTAGTTTAATGGATATGCATGTAAACCAAAACAGGTTTAAGAAGTCTTTATTTCGAAAATATTTTGATTAGCCACCCGCTAAAAAGTCGAATTCAATTTAACCCTGGAGAGTTATATATATTTCGTCAAGTCGGCGACGCCATTACTTGTTGAAAGCGATATCCGTTCCTCTCATTTTCGAATATTTTGCACTCACAAATTCATGGGCTAACTCAATTGCTGCTCGCATGGAAAAGATGAGTAGATATATTTGTACTATCTTTTACTAGTAAAAAAGGGCACCTGTGCATTTAACTGCGGGGTGCCTCGGCAAATATAACTTTGTTTACTTAATGCACTCCGTACGCCATGGTAACTCCCAGCTAACAAGCCAGCAGAAGAAATAAGAAAAATATAAAACGAAATAAGCAGAAGTAACAAAAAAGAGCTGAAAACAGAAAGTCAATTGCTGCTTTTTATTTACACGATGCATCCGTAACATTTTCGTGTCAATTGCAAGGGAACCACTTCACTTCCCTTCAGTATATGTATGTATGTATATAAGAGTATGAACACTTTTATATTCTCAGTCCATTTGGAGTTTATTTCGTGCCATGCAACTAGTTTTCTAGTTCATGCCAGTGCATAGTTTCTTTATGCTTTTGTTTACTTCAACTTTTTTCTACTTTAATCTGAAATACATACAATGTCGCCATTGCACGTCCCATTTCTATTTCCTTTCCAAGTCATTTGCCTCATTTTCCCGTATAATTTTCTTTTCATTTTATTTGCATTTCTCATGTCTCAACGCCATGTCTACATACATACATATATTTTTAAATGAGTTTAATGTAGAGTCCTGATTCTAAGTTACACACGCCCACATATAGTGCATATATGTACAGATGTAGAGCAAATAGCGCGTAAATGTTGTCGTTATTTGATATCCTGCTGGTTGTCAACCCTATTAGGCCAACTGAAGGGTTGATCCAGTGGCTTTGTCGTCAAATAAATAGCTGCAATGGGAATACAAGTGTCGGACTTGATGATTATTTTTTCGTTTGCATTTCTGTTTCAATTTCCCTATTTCTGCATTTGTCCTTGGCGGCGCGCTATCAAACCGTCATTAGAAGTCCCTAATAGACGCCAATAGTCGGTGTGAAGCAACGAAAAACAAAAAAAAAAAAAAAAAATAAGTGAACAAGTGTGGCTGGTTGGCTAAGTTGCTGGGCGCGAGCGCGTGAAATTTTTGACGCTATCAGAGGACAAAGTACGTTCTACCTTTTTTATTATGCAATTGTATTTGTCTTTTGGCCCTTTCCACTCCCCCAACGGTGACGAATCGAGTAAAAGTGCTGCTGTTTTCCGCCTCGATGGGTAATTTTCAACATTCAATA